GGGGGGGGGGAGGAAAAGACATTTGTACATGAATGAAAACACAAAATAGAAACAGCATTAATTAGCTTTTGTGAGGACAACTTCTTTGATCAAATATTTGAATTTATGGAATAGGTGTAACACTAGTTTTATTACAGTGAGATTTTTTTTTCAATGAAAGCTGCAATATAAAATAAGACATCGATTTCAGGTTAAAATATTTTTTTAAAAAGCAACAGCACCTAAAATAAACACACAAAAAAACAACCCAGTCACGAATGCATGGATTGAAATATTATTCAATTCATAAAAAACATCAAAACTTCATCACCAATTCTTTTCAGCAGATTAAGACTTGTTTCACTTAAAATGCAGTGTAACAAAATAACAAGTGCGCCAAAAGTGAGGTCCAAAGCTATGTTTTCTTTAGTAAACAGAAATGGTTATCAATTATCATCTTCGTTTTTAGGGCTTAGCCATACTTATGATACAATAACAAACGTAGGCATCGCCCTATATAACAGCTAATCTGCTTTTTTATTTAAAACACTGAGCGCAATATATAATTATTCTGTGCTTATCGCATAATTGCATTGCACAAAGTTATCACATTAAAACCACTCCTCACAATTTCAACAAAAAAGACAGTTCCTGGGTCTCACTTTTCATTCATTGAATTCCAAAGCCTTGTGGCTATTATCAGAAGGAAACAAAAGCAGGGGAAAAAAGAGTTCCGCTCCATTTCCGCCATTTGTAAACATTTTTGAACGCGTACCGTTGTCAACGAGTAGTTTCCCTTTAAACGGGCCTGAGTGAGGGTGAAGAATTCTAAGTAAGAGATGAAAAAATCTAAGTTATGATAGTGTCTTAATAAGAAAAACAAAGTGGACAAAGATGTTTAACTATTTACAAAACGGTCAGTGGAGTAATTACCTTCCGCAAAAAGCGACCTACCTGGTGATGTAGTCCACTGGCCGCGCTCTGTAGTAACCTTCGGTTACCTGTTGCTGCCCACCAGTCTTAGCAATCGAGAATTGAAAACAAGTGATCCCCCCTTCGGCACTGGGCAAGCCCACTCCGCGGACGAGAGAGAGAGAGAGATAATCGATACCAGTACAAATTCCGAAACAGAAAACATCGAAACAATTTTGCCGAGGTTGGGATATTTGTTTTTCTTTATTTTGTTTGTCTTCTCGGTCTGTCCTAAGTTGTTGTCATAAATATGTCAGTTTAAACATACGTTGCTGTAAAAGGCAATTTTTAAAATTCATTTGTGTCTAATGGACAAAGGTTGAACGATGAAATTAATGCACATATACTTAATGAAAGATTGTTGTTTTGCCACAGCGGAAGCTGTTGCTTCGATCTCTTGCTCTGTCCAAAGTGGCCCTTATAAATGCATCAGGAAAAGGCCCTCGATAAGGCCCATTTTATGGTTGCAGCTGAGGTGAGATACAAACAGATGTTGACTTGCATGACAGTGCACCAACAAGCCATCCTGTTTTGTATGCTTTCGAGTCGTATCCCATCAACTTCAAGCCTGTATCTTTCGCGATCACCGGCTTCTACTTCTATCATCTAATCTAGATCTAGATCTAGATCTATTAGTTATTAGCTATTGCACAGTAATAGTAAATGTTCGATTCCGATTTTGTTGTTGCACAGTGGCCAAGTTGTATTGACAATTGGGTATTTTTTTACTTTCCCTCCCGTCTCACACTCAGCTACCAGTTGTCTATTTTCTACTATATATTGATGCGCTGCAGCAAACAGTACAGCTGTTTGACCCCTGAAACTGAAACAGTGCATCTGTGTGCGGGAGTGAAAGTAAAAATTTACCGACAATTGAAATCATTTTTATGTGAGCATTTTGCGTAAGGCATATGTAGCATAAGGTGCTCAGCTTAGCTTTTCCCTCCCCCCCCCCCCCCCAACCCCCCCCAAACCCCCATGGCCCATGGGCCCAACCCCCCCGCCCAATTATTATCTATCGAAGTGTATACAGACCCGGTAACCGGGAACAAAGTCACGAAGTATACAGACCCGGTAGGGGAACTCTTTTGTGGTTTCGGAAAGTTTCAGTGCCCAGACCCGGTAGTGCGTGTGTGTGTGTGTGTGTTAGAGAGAGAGAGAGAAGAGAGAGAGAGCAGGGGGGAGTGCTAGCAAAATGTACTTGACATGCCCCGCCAGTTGGCAGGAGGGAACGAGAGAAAGATAGAGTGGGAAATAGGTGGGGAGAAAGAAAGACAGAGACAAACAAAGAAAAGGAGAATGCGAGCGATACACAGAGAGAGAGGGAGAAAGAGAGAGAGAGAGAGAAGTAGAGAGGGTGACTGCTCGATTGAAATTATGACATGTTGAATCTTTTCTTCAAATTGTGATTCCTCCAACTCCAAAATGGGTGAAAAACGATCGTTCAACGAAAAGAATCCACAATCTTCTTTTAGATTTAGATCTATCTAGATCTAGGCTAGCCTCGAAACTAGAGCAATGATTTATATCTGTCTGTATAGATCTAGAAAGAACCTAGTTCTACCCTGAGCCAAGAGGGTACTGAAACTTTCCGAAATCACAAAAGAGTTCCCCTACCGGGTCTGTATACATTGTGACTTTATTCCCGGTTGCCGGGTCTGTATACACTCCCATTATCTATACCTTGTCTGTCTTTTCGCTCAGATCATATATATTCTTAGCCCTCTATGCCATGCGTACACGTAATCTTGTTCCGCATGATTACTTCGCCTGACTTTTAACTCCTGCAGTTACACTTTGGAGAATCCTTTGATGACTGTTCTCATTTGCGACTAAACGTAGAACGTGATGTCATCACATCCTGGGATACCCACAGACTATTTTTAGAAGGCCGTGGAGATACCAAAGATCGTGTAGTAGAGAATCTTCGGAGATACCGCATGGAACAACATGCTGGGATCAGTGGCTTGGCATATTATCCGTAATCGATGTGTTTCTCACTTGCAGCTAACTGCAGCCTGTCTGCCATGCTCTACTGATTGGTTTAACAAGGTTTCCAGGATGCTAATATAATAATATTATTATAAACATTTCGGAATTCCGGTAGTAGTGAATCATGAAGTTTGAAATTGTCAATAAAGCGTGAAATTGTAAGATTGAATATTGAAGTCCATGGGCTGGTCCTTGTGCTCTGAGTACTGCTTTGAAGTCATTTTGTGGGGTCTACTTCGGGAAAGATGATTTTTAATTAAGCAGTTTCCTATTGATCTCTATTGGCCTTTTCTCACAGATTCATGAGAGGTAGTGTTTTAGCTGTATGTGTGTGTCAACGGCCGATGAAATCAGTCGTAAGTTTTGTTCTCTGTGGTGTTAGGACCGATTTAATCGGATGCAATTTCAGTCGCTATTTGGGCTTTGGGTGGGTTTATCCACTATACCTTTCAACTCCTTCTTAAATGAATGAGCTCTATTTCCTACTTTTAATTCCATTCTAAGTATTCAAATATATAGTTATTGCCTTTTTATTTAAATTGCTTGGCTTGCCTGTTGTCAAGCTAAGCATTTTCCAACGTTATAGTGAAATCAAATAAATAATTTAGAGTGTCTAACATCACAGGCTATTTTATCAACGACATTTCGACGGTTTATTTAATTTTATGGAATGTATCATGCTTCATGATGAAGAAGGAATACACATCTAAAATTTTGCCGCATACTCTCTTTCACAGATGAATTTCAGGTACTAAAAGTCTTCAAGCTAAGAATCCTCTCAGTAGGAGTGTCTGTGCTGAAACTGAGTTCATGAAGGGAGTAGTCTATAATTAGCACATGAAAAGCTGTTTTGTTTTCGGAATGTCTAAAATGTTTTCCTAAAGGCCAGCGAGCTTCAAGGAATGAGTGGGCATAGTGAACCAGTAGTGTGTTGCATCAGCTGGTGACTTTTGAATCGAGGTAAAAGTGCAGCACCTTGGAGCAATTCTGTGAGTACTGTTTCATCATGGCAGCTGCAATGTTCACTCGTTTGACACGACTGGGAAAGGGGGATGACTATGAAGACTTGGATGGAGGAGATGACAACGTAGAAATGGACATCACTGACATGTACCGGTCACTTGGCAAGAATCCACCCTCTGGACCAGCTAAGGCAGAAGCCGGGAAAGAAGATGGGAATAAACTGAAGCAAAGGTCCGTGGATAGTGGGCCACCTGCTACAACAGACGGTGCTGGTAAGTGAGAATATGACTTTTCCAATACCTGATGGAAAAAAAACAACTTTACTTTTATCCGCCGCTAATACCCTTTGGGTGTCGTGGGGAAAAAACAAATAAACAAATGACACAAAAAAAACCTACAAACCCTAAAAATAGTTTTTTAAAACCTAACAATTTATAATGATAATAATGTGAGGATACAAGCTGCAAAAAAGTTAAAAGGAATTTGCTTTTGGTAGGGGGGGGGGGGGGGGGGTTCATTCAGGGGTATTTTGAAGTAAGATGATACTTGAGGGGAAAATATCTAAAATGAAAAATAAAAAACTTTTCAAATAAAGGTTCTGGGAAGACTAGCTTTATCATCATCACCATTGCCTTTCTCACCCTAGGTCAGGGTAAAGGCCACGAACAAACACTTTCCACCTTTCCCTATCCTGGGCCAGCCTGTTGATGTTATTCCATGTCTTGCCACTTTTCTGTTTGTCAATTTCTGTGACTCTGCTCCAGGTTTCAAGTTGTCTTCCCTCTGATCTTTTACTTTGTGGATTCCAATCCAACACTTTCCTTCACCCCGCGGGGCGGTGCCACTGACTGCAGCGTCTTTAGGCTGTTCCCAAAGGGGGGACATTTCTCGTTCTAATGCACAGTAGAATTGTAAATGGGCTGATCTAACAATGTCACGCTCATAACTGTACCTGAACTACAACAGGGAACTGCTGCTTTTTCTTTCCTAATCCTTACTATCGTCATTTTCCTCTACTTCTTTTGTATGTTTGTCAGACTCTTGTGACCCACTATTTCCAGGGTGCCTTGATAATCAAAGCAGACTTTGCACTGTTGAAGCTAGAGAGGTGGGCAAAGTAAGTCTGATTCCCTGTAAGGACTTCTCTGTTGACATACACCCCTTGGCACTCATATGACCTTATGAAGTTGTGAGCGCCGAAAAACCTCTACTAAAACTAAAAACAACATTTTCCTTGTAATGCAGCTGCCTGACTTCCTGATAGTATGTTCAATCCATCGCAACTGCTTTCTTCCCACCTCACCTCTGACTAGGCTCTCCCTTGTTCTTAAAACACTTCCTCGTTGTTGACCCTGTCTGTCCATCTGATCCTCTATAATTTCCTTAGGCTCTTGTTCAATAAAAACCTGGTTCCTCTTTATATTATGCAAGTCCAAGATGCGTTCCATGTCTCACATCCGTACAACAAGACTGACTTCACATTTGAAAGACTAGCAACTGGATGTTATATATGCAGAAAACTACAAATTAAAGAGTTACCCTCTCAAAGAATTACAAAACAAACCGAAATATTGCCTGTTTGACATTCATGATTGTTTTGTCTCGAATCTTAGAATATTCTAACCAGTAGGTCTTATTTTTTATCTTTTCTGTGACGTTAGTCTTTTCTAGAAGTAAAAATGAGTTGTATGGAGGGTGTTGAGAGTTTGCATTTGAAACTTATTTGTGTCAAATGGTAAATATTTTTTGGTGATGTTATGGATTTAGCAGCCTTTAAGTTCATGTTCTCCAGTCCTGTGCTGTGGTGCCAGGCATTTGTAGAGATTTTTACAAATCTATTCAGAACAATCTGTGTGAAACAATATTGATTTACTTTTTCGTATTGAGCATTGTTGTTATGTCAGGTCAAAGAATAAAGATTTGATTGTCGGGTGCTAAGCCATTAGGAAAATATATTATAATGAAGGATTTGTTTTGTAAATTCTGTAATTCCGATTGTATTTTTTGCAGGTGAGACATTCACAGTTCAGGAAGCCATTGACCAGATTGGGTTTGGCAAGTTCCAGGTCAAACTGTCTGTACTCACTGGGTTTGCATGGGTAAGGACCGACTTGTTGGCTAACAGCAAACTCTGATTTAGCATCACTGAGACGATTGGCACAAATTTTCCTCTCTGAAAAGAATTTTTAGATCAAATGTACTGGAGGCAAATAATTTTTTTTTTTATTTGAAGAGTGCTTTTAAAGGGATAATCACTCTCCTATAAAAATTATACGTGCAAAGTTTTTAGTGACAACGCTGTAAAATACCCAGGTAGCTCTGTTGCAGAAGTATCCTATTTTCATATGAAATCTGAGAGTGATATGTAGGTTACTAAATTGGTCATAAAATCGAAACAAATGAACATATTTTGATAGTTCTTCATCTAAAGAAAGAACTCCCTGCAAGAGATACCAATTTTTGGCAACTGTTGAAAATGTATATAGTGTCGTCGTCATAAAGATATTAAACAGAGCTTCTGGCAGTGGATCAGAGGCACAGCGGTTCTAACTGGAAGCTGGTGGGAGCAGTTGCCAGAGAAAAAGAGTTTTAAAGGCAAGTTGACCCCAAAGTTTTGGGCTTGCAGCCTATACGGTTGACTTTTCCTGCTGGTCATGATGAACGAAATGTGCTTCCTTTCCTATCCATACACATTTCTGCTTTGGTCTCGCTCTGATCAACACATTAAACTTTTTCCACAAGATGGCTGACGCTATGGAGATGATGATCCTGGCCATTCTATCACCGGCATTGCACTGTGAGTGGAGACTGGAAGGATGGCAGGAGGCTTTCATCACTACGGTGGGTCATATCAAAGAGTCTACATAGCAAGAGGGGCCACTTCTCTCTTTGAGCCAATTTAAAAAGTGTCCTCAAAATTTGGTGGCGCCCTCTTCGCAAAAGCGCACCCTTTGCGAACAGAGTTACCCTACTTGAGTTTAAAAAATCAAAGTGAAACTAGCAAGTTTTTTAATAAATTTCGGAAGAACGCTTTTTTAAAATGGTTACGCTGACAAAAAACCTCTTCCGGAGGAAAGGGTGATTGTTTTCTTCGTTTAATTTGACTTTAGAAAGAAAGCCGAGAGGTCATTAAAATTTTTTAAAAATAAAACTCCACACTGAACGAACCCGAGCTGCTGATGAACAGCAGTCGATCTGCGCACGCAAGGAGGTGCTATTCCTATTCTTCTTCAGGAAAAACGAAAGAGAGCTTCAAAACAGACTGCAGCGCCATCTGAAGCAAAGAGCGAACTTCCGGCGGACACTTTTTTGGCTGAGTGGCCCATCTTGTTATGTACTATCTTTGGTCATATTGCAGCGTCGGTGGGCTAGTCGCGACCTCAGTGATTTTTTGTCGCATCTCCATTTTTAATGACTGAAAACAGTTCATAACAAAGAGTGCGCTTAAGTCACATTTTCATTGTTTAAAAAAAATGGAGATATGACAAGAAAGTACTGAGGTTGCGTAGTGGTTAGGTTAGCAGACTCGTAATCGTGAGGTTGGGGGTTCAGGGGTTCGAGCCTCAGCCCCGACATTGTGTCCTTGGAAAAGACTCTTTTCACAAATTTTCCTCACATCATCCGGGTGGGATTGTGGACCCGGCCATGGACAGCGAAAGATCTTTTCAGTTTGTTTGTGTTTTCACGTCTTTAAAATGGCAGCTTGATTCCACCATGCTGCCTCACATAATATTGTAATATAATAATAATAATAGAAAGCATTTGTAAGGCACAAATCCCCTCTCAACAGTAAACTCTATGAACTTTACATTTACAATCTATATTATTACTCCAGCAGACCTGATAGCATTCTGGAACATTCTCAATTTTCTGGGAAGCAAACAGTATGAACTCCTCATTCCCAAAAATTGACGAGCGCCTGATTCCACCGCGTCGTGACACATATTACAATTTCCAGTTTAAGGATGGTTGCCTTCGAGTAAGAACTAGTAACTGGAGCTTTTACAAACCTACCATGTTAGAAAAGCTTATTTCACCTCCCTTTTGGACTTAATAGAAACCAGACGCTCTTTTGAACTTTTTGAATTTATATTTGCTTCTTCATGAGTAATGCAAGAATAGAATAAGATATTGTTAAATGTTATCATTTTCCTTATTATCATTGTTTTCCCTATTACTGGACTACCACTTTCATTGCTTTACCCTTCTACTGTTCTATCATTTTGACTGCTTTTCTTATCACTGTACTATCGTTTCACTGGGTTTTTACTCCTCAGTGTACTATCATGTTCATTGTTTTTTTCTCATCACTGTACTATCATTTTCACGTTGTTTTTTCTCATTACTGCCCTATAACTTTCACTGGGTTTTACCTTTTCACATCACTGTACTATCATTTATACTGTTTTTTACTCATCAGTGTACTATCATTTTCACTGGATTTTTCTCATCACTGTACTCTCATTTTCACTGTTTTTTTCTCATTACTGCACTATCATTTTCACTGGGTTTTAAGTTTTCTCATCACTGTACTATCATTTTCACTGGTTTTTTCCCATCAGTGTACTATCATTTTCACTGTTTTTTTCTCATCAGTGTACTATCATTTTCACTGTATTTTTCTCATCACTTTACTATCATTTTCACTGTTTTTTTCTCATTACTGCACTATCATTTTCACTGGGTTTTAAGTTTTCTCATCACGGTACTATCATTTTCACTGTTTTTTTCCCATCACTGTACTATCATTTTCACTGTATTTTTCTCATCACTGTACTATCATTTTCACTGTTTTTTTCTCATTACTGTACTATCATTTTCACTGTTTTTTTCTCATTACTGCACTATCATTTTCACTGTTTTTTCTCATTACTGCACTATCATTTTCACTGTTTTTTTCTCATTACTGCACTATCATTTTCCCTGTTTTTTTCTCATTACTGCACCATCATTTTCACTGGGTTTTTTCCTTCCTGCAGGTGGTCTTCTGTGGCATGATGTTCAGCTCCAGTCTGTGGGGCTCTATATGTGACAAGTACGGTAGGAAAACGGTCAGTTGTGCAGACTAGGATGACCATCTGTTGTCCATCTTCTCATAATGTAGCTTTATGTCACTGATTTTTTTCTTGGCCTCAAAACAACTTTGCAATAGCTTCTGTGTAAATAAAGTGTGTCTTCATTATTTTTGAACATAATTTGTTCTTTTTTTGTAATTGTTGTGAACTACTTACTAAGATAGTACTTTATTATCCCAGAGGGAAATTTTCCTTGGCTGTACAGGACCGTAAAAACACATGCAGGTATACATTTTTTTTGTACAGCCAAGAAAAATTTCCCTCTGGGATAATAAAGTACTATCTTATCTTATCTTATCTTATCTTATCATCTACAATCATTTCTCCTTACTGGTGGATCACAAGCCTTTTGTGTTGCCTGTTTCCTCTTCTCTTACTACTACGACATAGTCTGCTTTAATGGGTAGGCTCTTCACCATTGCTCACAAAAAACACAAGTTCAGTTCCCTATGTAATGATAATGATAAAAATAGATTGCATTTTTATGCGCTCTAACCCATCCAAGTATAAGCTCTGACTATCTATCGGCGTGTATGTGTATCCATCTCTCCCCAGGAGCTGATCTTGTGTTCTCTCATCACCTGCTACTTCGGCCTGCTCAGCTCCTTCGCGCCAAGCTTCATCTGGATGCTCATCCTTCGGGGCCTGGTGGGGTTTGGGATAGGTGGTGCACCACAGGCGTGAGTAGCTCTCATGATTTACAGTTGAAATTGTTCTAGATGGTCAGCCATTGTTCAGGAGAAAAATGGTTATTATTTTTCTATATTTTAGTGACACTGTAAGTGATAATCATTGTCTTAGACAGGTGGATGCCTTGGACATTGTCATTAAGATATTCGAAAAACACATGGATGAGAGTAGGAAGTGAAATGGTACAGGTTTAATGGCCCTATCAACACTGAAGGTTATTCAAGAGGCAGGACCTACCAAGTTTAATGCCCAATTCCGAAAGGACCGAGCCGAATGGTAAATTTGTGTAAAGTGCCTTTCTCAAGGACACAAAGTTGAACCGTGCAGATGCTCAAGGGTAGGTAGTTGTCTTTTGTACAGATGATGATTATCTTGAATAGATGGCCATTAGAATAAGTTCAACTCTATGTGTATTTATTATTATATATTCATGTACAGTCAAACCTGTGTAAAACGGCCTCCCAATGTTAAGGAGAAAAGTGGCTGTATAACACAGGTGGCCGTCTTAGGCAGAAGTGGTCAAAATGAAGAAAGCAAATCATTCTCTTCTGAGGGCCAAATCAAGGCTGATCTCAGACTTTAGACTGCCATAAGGCTGATTCAAAAAGGTTTTTGGTTTTTTTGAGAAAAAAAAAGGGGGGTGTGTAAGAAAGGTTTTTTGAGTTGATTTGTTGGTTTGTATTTTTGGAAAGCTTTCTTTTTGTTGCTGATTTCATGCAAGAGTAAAATAGAGGAAATATTATGTACGTATGATGATGAAGACAGAGTGCCATGGTAAAACAAACATGCGGGTTGCGACCACTTGGAGAACGAGCGAAACGAGCGACGCTTCTGTCGCAAGTTCACGACAACGTCCGTTGTTATTTTGTTACAGATTAGGTTATCAAACAGTGACCAGTCAACTCACATACGATTTGTTCATGAGTTGTGGGTTGTGGGCGGGACTTATAGGTTATGACGGATCACGCTTCCCTCACCAGCAGAGTTGAAAAATTTATTGTTAGGCCTACCCATTGTTCAACTTGGGTAAACATTCATTGGAGGGGCTAACAATAAAGACAGGTGAATGAATTATGACAGCCTGTCCACAGCGTGAGGGGCCTATTCAAAATTTATGACAAAGTGTCGGGCAATTGGAAACCGCGCCTGGCCCACTGAGGCAGGTTAAATTGACCGTGGGTTGATAAAATAAAGTGGTCGCGTTGGACAGGTAACTGTTTTACACAGTTAAATTGTATCGAAAAAAAATGAAAGGTGGGAAATGAAAAGTGGCTGTTTGTACATGTGGCCGTATTATACTGGTGGCCGTCATGGCAGGTTCAACTGTATATATATACGTAACAACTATTGTCTCCATAGTGTTTTCAACTAGTCTATATAACACTGATCCATTTTGCAAAGTCTGTCCTAGAAGTAAGTTTCCCTGCTCTGTAAAATCAATGTTTTATTTTAGAGCCATGAAATTTTGTACATGATGCTTTGAGAAACATGTTTTCTATTCAACACAACAATCATTGATCTCAGTGCACTTTTTCTTCCAATGTAGCCAGCAGTCAAAAGCCATGACAATGATGGCTTTGGCCACTGTCCTTAGCACAGCTTTTGTTGTAGGCATTTTCTTCCTCATCTTCTAGTTGCTGGGGAACTTCCTTAAAGTTTCAGTTAATTAAAAGAACATTTTAAAATCTGTTTGCATACAAAGTTATACCCCAAAATAGCACCTCTTTAAGGTTTGTTGAATGTCCAGAATGCAAGACCTCAGTGAGTTAAATGACTGAGTGTTGTCACATTGATGTGTATCTGTTTGACTGAGATTAATAGAAACCTTTTTCCTCTCTCTTTCTCCAGGGTGACGCTGTATGCCGAGTTTCTTCCGACCAAGTCTCGAGCAACGTGTGTGACACTGGTGGAGACCTTCTGGGCCATCGGCGCCTGCTTTGAGGTGCTCCTGGCCCTGGTTGTCATGCCAACACTGGGCTGGCCCTACCTCTTAGCATTCTCCGCTATGCCCCTCCTGTTCTTTGCCATCTTCTGTGTGGTAAGTACCTGATAAAGAATTTGTTCCCTGTCACTGATCCCAGCAGAATTCTTGATTTTACAAAGGCCATTGACCTTTACTCATAAATGTAAATAGTTATTATTTTAAAATGTAGATTGCTGTGTTTAAAACTTAATTTTTACAATATATTTTAGATGTTTCAACCATTTCAACTCAGCCATGATGTGAACTAACATGAAAATAACTACTTGTGTCCTGTGCGCCCATATGACTTCATACAAATTTTATACCAAACTGAAACCTGATAGCATAATATGAGACAGAATTCTGTTTGCAGGGTTGGGTTAACCTTTTGTTTGTGTAGATTTGTCACTACAATGACCACTTGTTGGTTCAAGTGGGTGGTTGGCAGGTGCTTAGGTGTGGTTGTTCTCTTTCACCTTGAAAATAGCACTGAAGATGTTGGTCTTTTTAAAGTATCAGTCCATGCTGTTGCGAGATAATGGAAAGAAAGAGTAACTTATGTCACAATCATGAGTAAAGTAACATTTATCTAGGATGCGTGGAGTTTGATACTGGCAGTGACGCATCAGTCTTATGTTGAGAGCTAACAACATGGATTCAGTCCAACAGAGTATTCTGTTATTTACCCTTTGAGCTCTCACCACCGGTACACCGGTGGCGCATGAAGCTGCCTGCATACCTAGCCACCGGTACAGCGGTGGCGCATGAAGCTGCCTGTATACCTAGCCACCGGTACAGCGGTGAGCGAGATCCTATCCCCAACTGCCCATCTGGGACAAAATGCGTGTGGGAAACTGTGTTTGCTACACAGGATATTACTGATTATTTTGAAAATTTTTCAGAAGCAGATGCAAGTAATGACGAGAACTACCCTGAGTGGGATATGAAATGTGATTCTGACAATGACATCAATATTAATAATGTATCGCTCAATAGCTCAGGCAGAGAAGCACAGCAGCATCCAGAAGTCAGGGCTCAAAGGCTTATTATTGATAAGTAAGAATGCCCCAAGATGGTTAAATTTGATGTTGACTATAGTTGCTATTTCTCATCATGAGTAGAAGGGGTAGTCATTCTTTCTTTCAGAAATTCATTTAAATCAGTTTCTGACATAGCAATAAAGAGGCTACAGCTTTGTGCATTCTTGTCAGGAGAGAACTTGAGACAAAGAAAGAAGCATATTGTGACTGTCAGACAAAGGAGTTAACATGTACACCTTGTGCCGGAGAAAAAATGAAGAATGGTTTTCCGAAACCTGGTACGTCAATTCTGACAAGCACCTGATTTGACCACTATGTCACACACATATACCCAGCACCGAGTAACCATTATTGTGTCTTTGTGCTGCAAGTGGTTGGAGGACGCCAATGGTAGATCCGACTTCTTTTCTTTCCTTCTGTTGTTTCTGTCTGTCCGTCTAACTTTTCCTCCACACTTAAAGATCACTATTTTGCCGATGAGCATCTCTTTACTTAAACGAGCACGCGTCAATGTACTTCCTCTTACTAACACAAACAAACAAGTCACCTTTCCTTCAATGAGCTGTCTGCCCTCACACATTATTGTCTTCCCCAGTGGCTGCCGGAGAGCGCTCGCTATGACATGACGAGGGGTTGCTACGACAAGGCTCTTGAGACCTTGGAGCGGATCGCCCGAGAGAATGGCAAGCCCATGCCTCTAGGCAGACTTGTGGATCCCGCCGGGCCTGTGAGTGGCTGGCTATGCTGTACATGTACTCTTGTTAAATGTTTTTTGTTTGAAAACAAGCATTACTTTCCATTTTTGTGGGTGGGTGCTCAGTTGTGATTTGCTCTTTTTTTCCTATTAAACGTCTATCGTTCTTATCTCTCCTCCTCCTTTTTACGGTTTGTTACTCTCTTGTAACACCTATTCTGACGCACTTCTCTGACCATACTGTGTTGCAAGGGCCTTAAAATTCTTACTAAAACATTTCCATTAGAAAAAAAATTGAAATAGGTCAAGTAATGTTTCTCTCCCAATGCCCCATTCAACACATGGCATGCTGGTATGGCACAAATATCGGAAAAAGCAACTAATCCCTCTAAGAGTACTACAGTGAAAACTACTCAAACAGCCACCTGTTCAAGACAATCTCTTGTAAAAATGACCACACACCATTTCCACCGATAAGTTTTTAAAAAAATATTATTAAAGTGACACTGTCCAATGCATCCACCTGTCAGAGACCACTTTTCTACTCAACAATGAGTTTCTGCCTTAGACAATATTGACTGTTTGTATATACAATAATTATTGCTTCATCAGTCATATTCATTCAACTTTCTTTTTATTCTTCTGCCCAGGGGGTCAAGAGAGGACAGATCAAGGATCTGTTTATTCCTGAGCTGAGGCTGACAACGGTGCTGCTGTGGATAATTTGGTAAGACCTTCACTTTTACCTTGGAAGAAAAAATGATTAACTCCAATTGACTTCACTTTGCTTGGATACTGAAAAACAATTCGGGGTTACCCAATTTTGCAGCAGCTGAGACCTAATGCTTTACGTTTAAAAATCCCCTTGTGCATTCCTTGGCATAGGATACCATGTTGGAAGTATAGCAATGTGCATTTTGACTTTTTAGTGTGTGACTCCAGCATACGCCATTTTGAAAAGTGACATATGACTGAGTGTTACACTGCGCTGTCGAATTGAAACTTCACCTTTCCATTTTGAGACGGTTGCCATTTCTGTTCCTTTCTATTCACCTTGAGCAAATTGCCTCCTTCTGCACTGAACACTTTGTGCAGCACAGCTTCATCCATTGATCTTCCCAGGGGACAGAGAATTTTCTGGGAATTTAAACATTCTATAGACTCAATGATTTTACCCTTGCGTGATGTTTTTCGTTTCAATGTCTTCAGACAGATAAGCATTAATGTGCTTGGGCTATTGAATTCTGAAAAATGTGAGGCATTATGGTGAAATCAGGAGCTCGTCAAAATAAAGAAAGTGAAGAAAACGACATTTTTCTTCCCATTTACCAGTTTCGATCGATATTGTATTTTTGGGCTCAACATCTTTTATATCCTTTCAAAAGTACATTTCTGTTTGGGTTTTACGGAAAAATTTTAATTAAAGATGCAAAACATGCAAGTTTACAGTTTCTAAGAACTCTCAAGCTTTGGAGGTCACATAAACTTTGGCAGCCACCTCTCTCAAATTTTACCTCTGAAACCAGGGGACCCTACCTCCTTCAATCCAAAATATCTCAACTTCTATAGCAGATCAGTGGGTAATTTTTTTGATAGAAAGCAAGACAAATAAACAAGCTTAAGATGATACCAATAACTCCATATGCACAAAAATTGAAGAGCGCCTGACTCCACCACGTCGGGACACAAATATGAATACATATGTTTTTATATCAGCTGCACAGTGTAGGACTCGGTCACACATCACTTGTCCAAATGGGGTGTGGCACAGTCTTACACTGTGCAGTGGGTAGGACAAACAAAGCAAGGTGTCCCTCATTTAGAACAGGAGTTGTCTGACTCTGAAAGAACAATCATTTTGCACCGTGCTTTTTGTTTTATCTTCAGGCTGGTGTGTGCCTTCTCCTACTACGGCATTGTGCTCCTCACCACAGCTCTGTTTGAAAACCCTGATGGTTGTCACGGTAAGATGTTTGGATTGTTTTTCTTCTTCTTTGAGTAAGCCTTCTCTTTAATGTCTTATGATTATTTATCTTCTTCTTTAAGTAAGTGTTCACTCTTGTGTCTTCTGATTATTTGATATTCTTTTTGAATTGGCGCTCACTTTCTTATCTTGCACTGGGTCATATGCATCAATAAGTCATATTTATATTAGTGAAATATCGTGTAAATGTTCCGTCACAGAAGATGGAGATAGATCAGAAAAAACATAAAGGAAATTGATAAGTGAATTTACATTGAGATGGAATCCACAGTCTAATGAACAGAGGAAGGCAAACAAGCACAGTATGTCAGATAAAGGTGGAGGCTGATGCCAAATAAAATACAGGATGAAATATGCTCTTGACTAGAGAAAGAAGGGCAGGAAATACTTTTTTTAAAAATAAATTATTGGTGTTCTTTGTTGTTTATGGAATTACAAGACAGAGAATTTTTTTGAATGCGAAAAAAGAAGGAGATTAGTGATCAACAACCTATTTCACGTTCCAGGAACGGATGTTAAGTTCAACCCAAACCCGTCTTGCTTCCTGGAGTGTAAGACGCTCACCACTGCTGACTACAAGGATCTCACTTGGACGACTTTTGCTGAATTTCCAGGTAATGCTTTATTCACCCGCTGCTCTTGTGCATCATTATCACTGCCTTTCTCACCCTGCTTCAAGGTATAGGCCACGAACAAAACTTTCCACTTGTCCCTATCCTGGGCTAGCCCCTTGATGTTATTCCACGTCTTCCCACTTTTCTGTACATCAATCTCTGTGACTCTTCTCCAGGTTCCACGCGGTCTTCCCTTTGAGCTCTTACCCTGTGGATCCGAATCCAACACTTTCTTTGTTATGCAGCTGCCTAGCTTCCCGAGAGTATGTCCAATCCATCACCACGGCGGTATTCCTACTTCAGTTCCAACTGGGATCTTTCTTGCTCTCCTTAACACTTCTTCGTTGAAGACAATGTCTGTCAATCTGATACTGAATAACTTTCGCAGACACATGTTCACCAAAACCTGGATTTTTCTGTATTCAAGTCTGAGATGTATTCCATGTCTCACTTTAATACAACAAAAGTGCTGTTATGTATTTGTTTTCAAATTTTTGCTGAAGTCAAATCTATTTAGTTAGAAACCCCTACGGGTTGGCATTTTTCTTTTGTATCCCCATATTTTTTCAACTCATTTGTTTGACTAGGGCCCCAGCCGAGTGTTCCATTTTCAAAATGACTACATTAATGTTTGGCGAAGCTTAAAACTTCAACAATGAGGAACAAAAGCTTTTCAATTTTCACTTTAACTGCACTTCTCTCTCATCTTTTTTCCTTTCTTATTTAACAGGTCTGTTCATCACGGCATATCTACTCAACAAGATTGGCCGCAAGCTGACGATGGCTGTGGAGTTTGTCATCTTCACCATCTTTGTCATGCTTGTCAATATCTGCACCACTCGGTGAGTCCTTCTCTGGCTTAACATTGGAGCTGGTTCTTTCTTTATTTTGGTAAAAGAAAAAGTCTTTGAGCTTGTGTATAGAGGAGCAGTCTTGAACAGGTAGCTGTTTGATCTAGTTCGTCTGTATATATTTTTAAAATGTGCATGCTAAGAGGTTACTGTTGTCTATTTATCCATTCAACCATTAAACATAATTGAGGCTTCTCATCTATGATAATCAATTGATGCTTTCCATATAGTCATTATTAGATACAAAGATGTTACATTTGGAGAGGTAGCAGTTGCGAGCGCCGTAAAACCTTATACTATACTATACTATACTATTTGGAGAGGGGAGCTGCAAATTTCCAGAATTCATCACATATTTATTTACTATAGATTATTAAAGAATTTCACCTTATGTCCACCAAACTGTATCCTCACCTCCACCACCATTATTACAATCCCTACCCCTCACCACCATTATTACAATCCCTACCCCTCACCACTACCACCACCATTACAATCCCTACCCCTCACCACCACCGTTACAATCCCTACCCCCCACCACCACCACCACCACCATTACAATCCCTACCCCTCACCACCACCGTTACAATCCCTACCCCCCACCACCACCACCACCACCATTACAATCCCTACCCCTCACCACCACCACCACCACCATTACAATCCCTACCCCTCACCACCACCACCACCACCATTACAATCCCTACCCCTCACCACTACCACCACCATTACAATCCCTACCCCTCACCACCACTGTTACAATCCCTACCCCCCACCACCTCCACCACCATCATTACAATCCCTACCCACCACCACAACCGTTACAATCCCTACCCCTACAACATTACAGTCCCTATCCCTCACTTCCACCATTACCTCCACACAGAGCTTTGTTGACGTTCTTCCTGTTTGTGGCGAGGGCGTTCATCTCAGGTGCCTTCCAGGGCGCTTACGTGTACACACCAGAGGTGTACCCGACCTCCATGCGCGCGCTGGGGCTGGGGACCTGCAGTGGGATGGCCCGCGTTGGGGCCATCGTCACTCCGTTTGTGGCCCAGGTATGTGGCGTAAATAGATAAATGAATTAATAAATAAATAAATAAATAAATAGATGGTTGGCCAGTTATGTGATGTAAATAGATGAATAAATTGATAGATAAATAGATAAATGGTTAAGTGACCCAGGTATGTGATATGTATATATATATATATATATATATATATAAATGAATTGATAAATAAGTAAATAAATTGGCAAAAATGGGTGGCCTAGATATGAGCAAAAAATCCCTACATGGCCTTCTTTATTCAAACCTATTCCTTCTTCTTTGAACTGCCCTGACCCTTGCAATAGTTACCACGAACATACAAGTCTGGTGTCATTTTTCCCTTTTTATGCTTGCATCTACTACTGCTCTATGGTAGACTAGCGCACACTGATATATAGGTGCTTCGGGGCAGAGGCAAATAACTCGCACATCGATATATCAGTATCATAGGTTCATAGGGTTAATTTCAAGTCTGAGCTCACTACCAACTCAGCTACTGAAATGTACGATGGTATGTAAGAGAAGACGAGATTTATTGATCCTCAGGTTGAAAAAATCACACCGTTCTTTCACCAGCTGCTGCAGTGCAACATGCGTTATGGAAACATGCGTTATGGACTATTAGCACCCCACTGCTAAAAATTAAATTATGGTTCTCTTCCCATCCCAATCTCTCTCTTTCTGTCTTTCTCTCTCCCTTTCTCTCTCACTCCCCCCCCCCCCCCCCCCTCCCTATATACACACACTCTCTCCATTAAACTCAAGGCGTCTCTCCATCCCTCCTACCTGCTCCTCTAACAAGCAATGTAAAACTCTTACTAAAATCTATTTTTTTCAATAATGTTTTCCAAATTGATTTTCAGCAAGGCACTATTTTGTTGTTTGTTATGATGTTGATCCGTATGCATACTGGCGTCTGTGGTGTAGCATTTAGGCTGCTCAGAAATGCACACAGAGGGCATGAATTCAATTCTGGGGTGGTCAAGGTTTTTTTTAGTTGAGTACCCTCGTCTGTCTGCTTGGATGTTGTTTCTCCAATAAGCCATGCCCACTACCCCCTATCCTCCCCTTCTCCCTCAATGGTCCTTATGTCCTTACACCCCCCCCCCCTTCCCCCTTTCTCCCCCTTTGCCAAATGATTCTCACATTCTCTGTTTCTCCTACGCTGTCAGGTTCTATGATAACAATAGTATTAATAATTGCATTTATTTAGCGTGTATCCTCACTCAATAGCCTGCACTTTACAATTCTTAGGTTCTGCTGAAGGAGTCAGCCTACACAGCCATCTCTATCTACGGCATTATGTGTCTCATTGCCACAGTGGCTTCCTTCTGCCTACCCATTGAAACCAAGGGACTGGACATGAAGGTAAATTCTCTCACCACTCAGCTGTTATTTTTATAGCACTGCAGTTTTTTTTACTACCAACTTCATGACTGTTGTGATTTAAACCAGAACCTATACTTGTTAATGTTTTCAGAAAATAAGCCTGTATAACACATAACACTATGATCCTGAAGTGTTCATTATGCAATTTCTCTTATCCTTCACAATACTTGTGAATTTCATCAGAGACTGTTACTTTGAATGTTGAGTTGAAATTTTCTCAGTTGGCTGAAGGTCTGGGGCTGTTGTTTTGTTTTTTATTAGAATGTTAATTCATATGCATACCAGCATCTGTAATGGATTAGTAAGGGTCTTCACCTGTACACTTAGAAGAACTGAATTTGATTCCTGAGTGTGGAAGTTTCTTTTTATGGAGTAGCTCTGTCTGCCTGCTGGGATTTTGTATCCCAGTTCTCCTGGGTTGGCTTTGATAAGAAAGGCATCAAGAACAATTGGTAGAGACCTAAGTAACTTTGAATATCTGCACAAGACAAACTTTCTAAAAAAGGCGGAAATAATGCTTAGTGACCATAGCCACCCAATGACATCGGAATTTCAACTATCGACCCGCAGTAAACGATACATTTCCAAAAAAGCAGGAACAGACAGGTATAGAAATTCATTCGTACCAACTGCAGTGAGGTTACTGAATACACAGTGCTACAAATGAAACAGAGAGAGAAAGAGAGAATGAATGTTTTACGGAGCGGTTTGTCCCAGCCCGTGACTCATGTATTTACTTGGCCTAATGTCCTGTCTTGTGCGTTTGCGTGAGTGCACCTTTAAGTCTAACTTTTGTAACGTCTACTGCCATTGTTAACGACCAAGACAAATTTCTCCCTGCGAGATGAATAAAGATTGTCATTGTCATTGTCATTCATTGATACAGATAGGCAGGGTCAAAGAAACCTGCCTCCTTAATAATTAATTTTGTAGATGGCAAAAGTAAAACACTTACGATGAGATTACATGTCTGCATAAGGTGATGAATTTGTTGTTCCTGCGCAGAATATTTTCTCTTCTTTGTTTATTTACTGAAAGTTGTGTAAAATGAAATTATTCAAGTAAAATGGAGAGCAAGGAATTTGTTTTGAGAAATTGACATGTCTTTTCCCCTCTTGAATTTTTAACAGGACATGGGGTCGGAAGTTGCTAAACCGAAAAAGACTCCAAAATAATGGAACGGCAGTGTCGTTCAAGTGTGCGTGCCGGAGTTCTGCATCGGCCCACACCCCACCAGCCACCACCCACCAAGAATACTTTGTGTTTGTAGCATATCAAGTGAGCTGTTTCATGTGCCGTCAAAACAAGAATCTCGTCTGTTGTTCATTGTGGAAGTTTTCGAAAAGTTCTTCTTTGGTTCTACCTTTTTGTGTTTATGAAGGTTAAAGGTCCGTTAAGATGTGAAAGATTAGCTGTATCCTTTGTGTTCCCTTGTGTGGCAATCTACTGTAGTATCTTAACCTTATTTCAAAATTTGAGAATCTAGGACAGGGGTGTCAAACTCAATTGCCCAGGGAGCCAAGCTCATATTACACTTAGGTTGTGGGCTGATCTTGATAAACACTCTTTGAGCAGTGGAAACCTGAACCTTTTTTAACAATGATATGAAGTAAAGCAGACAAAATTGTACTTTACTTTTACTTTACTTTTCCGATCCAGCGGCCATTTGGGTTCTAGCCCTTCGGTCTGGAGACAAAATTTTAAATAATAACAAATCAAGGCACACCAGTGTTCGCTGTAATGCCGATTTTGTCTCAGTGGGAGGTTTGGCATCTTTTCTTGGCAACTAGTTCGTGTTATTGCGATTTTCAGCATGACTACCTATAATTTTCTTGCGGGCCAAATATAATTGTTCTCCGAACCAGATGCAACCTACAGGCCTTGAGTTTGACACCTGTGATCTAGGAAATCTCCCCCAATTTTTTTTTTACGATCCTTTCAAAGAGCTCGATTTATTGATTTATTAATATACTTAAGGAGTTGTTGTCTGACATCTCTGACTTTTGAGGAGCTAAGTGTCAAGCCATCTCTTTCTAAAACAGGGTTTACATATGGCTGAGTATGTTGGTCATGGAAGTGGTGAAAAATGTGTAACTTAACTTATTTTTCTGGTGCATAAATTTTGTCCACTAATTTTATTGAAAATGTTATGTAAATGTTTCTGCATGTATGCTTTGACAAATATTATTTATATAATAATATATAACTTCCGGGCGTGTGATACATTAACTGTAAAGATTTTAAAGCATTCCTACTACAATGTATTTTTTATGTATTATGCTTGTTTGTGTACAGAGGGTGTGACCAAATTTACCTTTTCATCTTCTATTTCTTGTCTTGTAATTTAACTCTTCTTAATCTTAAGACAAAGTTCTTTAAACCTACGGCATTACGCAAAGCTACGGTGCTGCCTTCTTGCAGCTTTGATCATTTCCATTTTTTCCCGCCTGTACAGAGATTTCTCTTTAAACAGATTTTTCTTGACACAGGTCTGAGGTGATGCAACCCATGAAGAAGTGTTTTGTTCTTCTGTATAATAATGACTGTGTGAGTGGGTAGAAGAGGAGTACAAGAAAGGGTCGTACGAGAAAACCTTGAAATGAGACAGTCTGAAGGTTTATAAAAGCTCGTTAAAAAAATTTGTTTTAAGAATCACTAAATCAGAGGGTGTTCATGATGGGAACAAATTTGATGTAACCTCATTGTGTTCATATTGTCATCATGTTTAACATGCTATTGTTGGGTTTTTTTCCGGCAAGTTCGAATATTTTAGTTACAAGATTATTTTTATATGGAGATAGCAAGATCAATAAGAATTTACTTGTCTTTTTCACTCTTATCTTTGATCCTCATTTTGAAAACAGGGATCCAACGACTCATTGTTTTATGTCAGAGTTATGTTAGATTGCAGCACAATTGAATGATGTGATCTTTCTTTCCTTATGTCTAACAAGTACATCACTTCTGACTCCACTGTTTGCTCTGTTTGACACCACTTTGTGATGAAAAAGTCGTTGAAGCTGCATGAGGCTGGATCACTTGAGAGATCACAGAATAGTTCAGGGATATTCCACGGTAACTGACGGGACAGAAAAAATACTGTATGTGTCCCTTCAGTTACCAAAACTAAACACGTCACAGAATTTGCAAAAACTATTTTTATTTTCAAATGACTGCCTTTAATATGATTCTTAATAATATGTCTTTCAAGTGTTCTGATCATTTAAAGTTGAAATAAATTATTTGGTATAATTTGATTAGTGTTTTCATTGTAAGAAAGTATAGTCCAAATGTGCAGTCAGTTACCGTGGAATAGCCCTCATATGTAAAGCTTAAAATCGACTTTAGAAATGTTTATTTCCTGCTAAAGCCTTTTTAAAAAATGACAAAAATGAAATATTTATTCCTAGTGTCATTTTTAAGGCTTTAAATACAAGTATTTTGTGATTTCTCATGTGTTGAAAATGGTTAGTTTACTCTTCCTCTAAAGGTTGTGTTTTGTTGGGGGTTTTTTAAAGGATTTTCCTTTACTCTTCTGTCTGATATATACTTCTTTTTTTTTCCACCTGAGACTGATATTGTTCTAACATTCAAATGGAAAAACTTCATCTTTTGATTGCCCTTCACTACTTTGTTGTTATTGATCCAAATGAAAATAGTACTGTTTTAACCGCTCCCCACCCTTCCTGCCCGAGAAAAAAGTATATTTATTGATGTGAATGCCTCAAGTTCTTCTTACTTATTCTGTTGAATTGACATTTTATAGTTCTAAGATGTGACTTATTTATATATTGGATTACTTCATTCATAATCTTTATTTTTAAATTATAAGTGCTAATCTACTTGAGAGAGATCTGGTGTACTTTAAAAGTAAACTTGATTTATGTGATATTCTCATAGTTTTTTCTTTTTTACTGTCTATGTAACACTACTTGAGAAAGAGAGTGAGAAATGTTGATTTCAACTTTAGAAAGTAAACTGAATTATAACATTGTGGCTTAACTTTTCCTCTTCTGAAATGTGATATTGCCTAAACGGTGAAACAGTGTAGCAGAGTGGTTTTTGCCATATTTTTCAGGGCTGCCATTCTAGTCATTTTTTCTGGATCGTTCTGAATGAATCCGCTTTTATTTTTGTCTCAGCAATTGTGATATTGGGTTTGGAATGAATTATTTAGCGGGTGTTTGGAGGGCACCACTGGTAGGTCCTACTTTTTTACTTTCCCTCTTTTGTTTCTGTCTGCCTGTCTTACTTATTCCCTGCACCAAATGGCTATTATTATGTTGGTTTGCTTCTCTTTACTCAAACAAACAAATGAATTATGGAGGGTTTTTTTATTAAGGCTATTGTCTTTGTCTCCTTTTGCGATTGGACCAATTTATTTTGTTGTTTTTCCCGCCCCTTTTTGTAAAAATGGTTGACATCGAGCGTATTGTGACAGAGCTTGTTTTACTTTCCTAGTGGTCAAATGCTTGAACCACATCAATACAGGGTTTTGACATTTGGTTCGCTATTTATTCATTGTTTTTACAATGGTCTTTAATGACACATCCTGAGATACCATGGCTTTTTTAAAAATATTATTGCGCTTGTAGATATATGTTTATTTCATGACCACAATGCTCTTTGACGGGTGGGTTGTTTTGTTAATTTTGCCGTGATCAAGGAAGACTTTTTTTGTCAGGTAGACAGAGTTTACCTACCTACTTAACTGGAGTGATTGTCAACCTTAAGTAGTTTCCAGCAGCACTTTCATTTCCATTTGTGAACTGGCCTTTGACCTTGAAGGTGACTCATGATGACTGGCTTGTTTCTCTTTATTGCTGAAATGAAGAAAGTGGGTGGTTGGAGGGAGTCATTGATAAGTCCTTTTTGTTTTATTTTTTGTCTCTGTTGCAGTTTATGTCTGTCTGTCTTACTTTTTCCTGGCACGAAATGAAAGACAAATATCTCTCCAGGAAGCAGAGATTGCTTTGGAATGAGTAGCATTTGTCAAGGTAGTTAATAAATTGTAAAGGACATAATGTCAACTTTCAAGTCTGGATACATGCCATTTAGATACAATCTATTAAATTATGATTATTGTTATTATTACTTTACTGTTTACTTTTTCATCCTCTGTTGTCTAGGGCGTGCAGTTTTCTATGGTAGGCCAACTCTTTTGTATATTGGCATCAACTAAAGCCTGAACTGATGATCTCCTAGTGTGCTAGTCATTGTAAATTTTTTATGTTTTAGGTGAAGACTTTATATATACAGGGTTGTCAGACTTTATACAGAGTCCAGAGACTTTATACTACAGGGTCCATAGACTTTATACTACAGGGTCCATAGACTTTATACAGGATCCAGAGACTTTATGTGGGGTGCATAAACTTTATATAAAGGTCCAATTTGAAGGGAGAGGGATAACGTTGATAAGTTGTACAAGTCACTAAGATGCAATGTTGCTGGCGGAGAATATGGCCAACATGTCTTGTAAAAATCACAGTTTATGGAAATATGTGTTGTTGTTCTTGCTGTTAGCTGAAGGTTTTAACTTATTTTCTTGATTTTGAAGGAAGTTTTATTTTCTGTTGTCTTTTTGTGTCTGCTGTTGTGTTTTACTGTTGTATGATAAATTTAGAAACCAGTGCAAGGGACCTGGTGTTTGTGGCATGATGGGTAGGCTCTGGATCTTACATACAAAGGATGTTCTTTGAATATCACGTAAGGAAGAGGCTTTATGGAGTGTCTTTGTCTTTACTTTCTGCTGGAATGTGTCACGTGCAGACCAGGTTTGCTGTAGTAGCAATCATGGTTGAGGCCACCAGCCGACAGTGCTTTCTCAATTGCGTTGATTGGCGTGTGAAATGTTAACTTCAAAGTCGTTGAATCTGCGGTCAGCTGAGGCTTTTTTCCCTTTAAGAAAACTTTTAACTGACATACACTTGTTCCCTCGCTCAAGGAATTCAACTCAACCTTTGTGTGTTCGGTGAAACTCATTTTCTATTTGTTGCAACCAGTGAGGGTGTTTTTTCCCCAGGATTTTACCTGCAAAACCTCAGTTTCTCTCCCTAATTCTTGATCTGAAAAGTTGATACTATTTTTAGTGTTCTTGTCTGTTTGGATTATGTAATGACATATATGCATGGTCTCATATTTGATTTTCAAGTGAATGTTACTGTTTGTACATTTTTTTACCTTGTATAAGTGTGAGTTTGTAACTAATTAGCGTAGATTTATCATGTACAGTGAGATTACATTTTATTTTTTTGCTGGTTTTCTTTTCATAACCAGGTCTAAACTGTCTTCAGGGGATTAATATTGTTATAACATTTATATATAAGAGACGTTCATGAAATTGAAAAAGTTTTGATATTATTGTTGTTATTGTGCGGTTCAAATGATTTCAATTATTTCATATCATTTCCTTTTTTAGGAAAAACAAGTAAGGTTCTTACTGATTTTTTTCATGTTTGTCTTTATTTTCCGATTTAGCTTCCTCATGTTTTCATTGATGGCTAGGTTGTTTGTGTTTGATGTATTTTACATGTATGAAAAGCTCTGCAATGATCAAAGAAGCATGCCGTCTGCCAGTTGTTAAAATGTGCTACGCCTAAAGTTAACAATTTTTTTTTATTGCAGTTTCTTAATCTGTGGTATCGGTAGTATATGCTCACGAAATATTTTGCGGAAATTCAAATTCTATATGTTAAAAAGGCAAGAAAAAATACTTAACAGGTACAATTGTTTTGTTTTTTTCTCTCATGTAAAGTTTTGCTTGCTGGGCTTCATATATTTTAACAGCTTGTCGATGACATAAGCCTTTCGGGTGTTGAGTGTCATAATCAAGGCAATATCTTGACCTATTCGTTTTTGATCAGTAAGGTATTAAACTTCTGCCTGAAAGATAAGCACCCCCCCCCCCGGGGCAGTACCACTGACTGTAGTGTCTTTAGGCCATTTCCAGAGGGGTGGACATTTCTCGTTCAAGCACAGTAGAATTGTAAATGGGCTGATTAATCATGTCACGCTCATAACTGTGCCTGATCTGCAACAGGGAACTGCTGCTTTTTCTTTCCTAATCCCTACTATTGTCATTTTCCTCTGCTTCTCTTGTATGTTTGTCACTCTTGTGACCTGCTATTTCCGGGGTGCCTTGATAGTCGAAGCAGAGTTTGTGCTGTTGAAGCTAGAGAGTTGAGCAGAGTAAGTCTGATTCCCTGTAAAGACTTCTCTGTTGACACCCACCCCTTGGCGCTCATATGACCTTATGCAGTTGCGAGCGCCGTAAAACCCTCTACTAAAACTAAAAACTGAAAGATAAACTCTTAAGATATTTTCCACTGGCGTCTGTGGTGTAGTGGTTTAGGTTGGGACAAGGTGCATATATAGGAATTAGTTCAACTCCCAGCCTCTTTGGTTTTGTTTCATTTTAACAGTCGGGCCAAACAACCACTGACAAATATTATAATAATTCAACTGTGAAAGTCACTTAGGACACTGGCAAAGTTTCCTTCTTTATTGAGACTTTATGATTATTCGCAGCATAGAGTTGACACATGTACGGAACCATTGACAGAATCAAAGTTATTTAGATGTCAGAAGTGCCATATATATAGTCCTGGTGCCGCTGCTAGGTTAAGTGTTACACCATCACTGGCAGAAGACATGAGTTCGATTCCTTGGTGGGAAGGTTTTTTTGATAGGGTATCTCAGTCTGTCTGCTGGGACATTATATCCCTCTCAACACTCAACCCTGGTTGGTCCTGAAAGGTAGCTGAGTTGAAACAGCTCGGCCCCCCTATGGTCTAAATTGTGTTTAAGGGGGCGTAAAACCTCACATTTAGAATTACAGTGGTCCCTATATCTTGTGACAACACTGGCATCTGTGATGTAGTGGTTCAGTGCTTCACTGTTGCATGCAGGAGACCCGAGTTCGTTCCTCAATTAGAGAGAAAATTTTATTTAGTCTCTCGGTCTTTCTGCGTGCTGAGATGTTGTATCCCTCCCAGCCTGGGTTGGCCCTGACAGGCAGGGTTGGAAGCCCGCCTCCCCTGTTAAGTACAACAGTGATACCGGTATGGTACGTTTTTGTTTGTCCCTTCCTGCCAAAGTGTACCCAGTTGTTCCAGACTGTACCTCACCCCCCGGGGCAGTGCCACTGACTGTAGTGTCTTTAGGCCATTCCCAAAGGGGGGACATTTCTCGTTCAAGCACAGTAGAATTGTAAATGGGCTGATTCATGTCACGCTCATAACTGTGCCTGATCTACAACCGGGAACTGCTGCATTTTTTTTTCTTAATCCTTACTATTGTCATTTTCCTCTACTTCTTTTGTATGTTTGTCACTCTCTTGTGACCCGCTATTTCCGGGGTGCCTTGATAGTCGAAGCAGACTTTGTGCTGTTGGGGCTAGAGAGGTGAGCAGAATAAGTCTGATTCCCTGTAAAGACTTCTCTGTTGACACCCACCCCTTGGCGCTCATATGACCTTAAGCAGTTGCGAGCGCCGTAAAACCTTCTACTATAAATAAATAATAGACTGTACCTGTTTATCTTATTTGAGAACTTGTTCATATATTCCACCTGACTTAGCTTGATACTCATTCCTATGTTGTCTCAACATATTGTGGGTTTTTTTTCATTTTTAAGTAATTATCTAAACCATGGCAAAGTGAGAAATAGCCTTTGCATAGATGCAAATGATATTCATTGGTTGGTGTATGTATTATTTTAAACATTTGTTCAAGTGGACGACAGCTGTCTTTGTTATTTATTATTAAAAGTTTTACGTCCCTTGCAACACAGATAGGTCACATAAGTGCCATAAATAACAAATGTGTTACGAAACTGTGGAATCTGAGGCTCGTCAATTTTTGTGGACATGTGGAGTTATTTGTACCATTTTAAAGGATGTTCTTTTGTCTTGCTTTCGATGAAAAAAATACTTACATGTCATGAACAGAAGTCGGGATATTTACGATTGAAGGAGGTGGGGTTCGCCTGGTTTCAGAGGTAAAATTAGCTTAAAAATGGCTACCAAAATTTGACGACTTCCAAAGCGCACCTTAAATCAACATTTTTTCACCACACAGAAATTTGTTTTTAAAAGGACCTTAAAGGTGTTGAGTCAAAAAATAAAAATTAAATAAAAATTGCAAAACGGACAGAAAAATGCTAGTTTCTTCGATCTCATTATTTTGACGAGCACCTGATTTCACCACGCTGCCTCACAAATTGTTTTAGTAAGTGTTTAACGGCACTTGCAACACTTAATTGTGTTGTAAGTGCCGTAAAACGCCTGCGAAAACAATTTATTATTGCACTTATGTGACCTATCTGTGTTGCAAGGGATGTGATACTTTTACTAAAACTAAAACCAAACCTTCTTTTTTATACCCAGTGCACTTTGATGTTTGACACATTGAGGGCGAGTCGATTAATATCAGTGCTAGAGCATACTGTATCAGTTTAGTTTACCCTCTGCTTTTCTTTGTCCGGTGCGGGTGGTTGGAGCGCGTCACTGGTAGGTCCTACTTCCTAACTTTCCCTCTGTTCGATTCTGTTTGTCTGTCTTTCTTTTCCCCGGCGCTTATAGTGATCTTTATTGTACCGATGTGCTTCTCTTTACCCAAACAAAACAAAAAAAACCCAAGGTTTATCCGAATTTCAGCCGGCAGCTCCAAGCCAACACTGCTGACCTTTGGGGAGTATCGTATCTTCCAGAGCATACATAGCAAAATACAGTTGAAATTGTCCGAGACGGCCACTCATTGTTGAGGAGGAAAATGCTTTTCTTCGACAGATTGACGTCTTGGACATTTTTATAATAATATAAATTCAAAAATGGAACAGGGAATGTGGGAAGTGGTCGTTTTTTGCAGGTGATTGTTTTAGACAGATTGCTATCTTAGAATTAGAAAGTTCTACCTGCTAAGTACCTGGTTTTGATAAATTTGATGTAAAAATTTTGAGTTTCACATAGTATCAAGCTTTTTTTAATGCAACTCTTAGAATATCTTGATTAAGACTCTGAATAATCTTACGATTTTGATAGAGCAGAGATATGACATTTGGTTTCTGACCTCGTGGTCTTAATAACTCAAAATGGCCAAAAATGTCAAATAGAACTTTGTAATTCTACGGTAGCGAAATGGTCATTGCAGCAATGTCTACTTCATAGTACTGTTTATTATGCTGATACCCATGCCAGAAAGTCCTAACTCAGGTACAAGTGAATCTGTCCCACTTTGAATTCACTTATTAAAAAAAGAAGTTAAGGACTGCACCGTAAGTGATCTAGAAATCTAATTCTTGTCGACGTAGGCGTAAAATATGTGTAACGTTTTTACCATTTATGAAAAAGAAGGGGATGATTTTCACTTAGTTGTAGGCTTGCCAACCATACAGAATTCCCAGGGACTATTTCGGATTTGGCAATCGGAAATTTGAGAGCCTTATCATAATATTATGTACCAAAACCCAGTCCTTTTTGATGTAATTTGTTTTGTTGTTTTGCAATCTGGTGTTTTAATTAGGTTTTTGTTGTTTGTTTGTTTGTTGTTTGGGTTTTTGGGGGAGGGTATATATTTTGTACTTTAGCAGATGTGAAGGGGGGGGGGGAGACATACATTCTCTACTCTAATTGGGCGGGGTGGGGATGCAATGATGGGAGTTTTTTCCTCTACTTACATCAATTTAGAAAATGTTCAACTACTTTTTTTCCCTGTTGGGTTTTCTTCAGGAGGGGGAGATTGATTTTGTCCCCTTTTTTTCTTTGCTTTGTTCTTGCTCTTAACAATTATAACTACTTATGAGTATGAGTTCCTGAGTTTGTTATTAACTTTAGTTAAAATCATTTCTCTGTTTGTAATATCTGGCACACTGGTGTATTCAGTGTTCTTGAAAATAATGAATACATATGTATTGCCATGGCTGTGATTTATATAACAGACTTTATGTTATAGTGCAGAAAGAATAACCAGTGCTTCATTATGACTGGCACAGTGACTGCGAGTAATAATTAATAATTATAATTCATTTGCAAGGTTCATTGCTATTATTTATTATGACACTGTGCTCTAACTTCAGGCTGTGAGATTGTGAGCTGTTGGTTATGGATATTATAGTAATTATAGTACTTTGTATTTTGTTGTTCAGAGTGAACTTTTTTTTGCTCTTTTGTATTGTCTCTCTTACGAAGTGGAAATATTCTCTCATTCTGTCTGTCTGTCTGTGTCTTTATCTGAATGTGACTCTCTCTCTCTCTCTCTCTCTCTCTCTCTCTCTCTCTCTCTCTCTCTCTTTCTCTCTCCTTCTCTCTCTCTCTGTGTCTCTCTTTCTCTCTCCCTCTCTCTCTCTCACTCCCTCTCTCTTTCTCTCTCCCTCTCTTTCTCAGTCTCTCTCTCTGTCTCTCTTTCCCTCTCTCTCTCTTTCTCTCTCTTTCTCTCTCTCTCTCTCTCTCTCTCTCTCTCTCTCTCTCTCTCTCTCAGCCCGTTTCTCTCTCGCTCTTGTTGAAGAAGTAGTTAGAGGGTGCTCTGTTAGGCTGCACTATAATGGCTATTGTCGTGTGGATGTGCTTCTCTGTAATCAAACTCTGTCTATAGCCCACTCTAAGAACATTATTTAATAGTTAGTTGACACCCTTTGAAATCTGTTGCTGCATTGCATGCGGCAGGAAACAGAGAGAGAGGGGGCATCAAAGAGACAGAGAGAGAGACAGACAGACAGACAGACAGACAGACA